TGAGTGACGACTGAGGCGAGAAAAAAATATTATTGTACAAGAAATAAATAAATAATAATAATAGTAGTACTAATCAATAAAGATAAATAATAATATTGAGAATTTCAAATTACCGTAAATCCTCTATCACCGACCTCTGTGACCGTACACCGCCTGCAGCCCGCCCGTCCGTCCGCACCACAGGAAAACCAATGTTCAATCTCACACTTTCTGGCTAGTTTGGTAGCACAGGAAGACTGATATTGCACACATATTGTACATCAATGTTGTGATCACTTGACAGCTGTCAAAACAGGGTATCCGCTGACCAGTATCACCTGACCGTATCGCGGGCTCAGGTGTCGACCCATCGAAGTCGAGTATCTTTTTGAAGTTATCCGCTGACAAGTAACTAGTTTTCAAATGATCGCAGGCTCAAGTTTAATTTATTTTTAATTCATATGAAATATGTTGTGTTTTATGTGTCACACAATTAAAATTTTGATTTAAAACTGACCTCGGTAGGTAAAATTCAGCCAGTTTTTACAGGCAGGGAAGACATGCCAGTTGCTTTTGACTTTTCATACCAAGGTCACACGTTGGTCACGCTCTACGTGCAATTTTTATGCTCTGATTGGTCAAAATTTGACAGGTGAGTCCATGCGGAAAATTTATGCAGCATCTTGAAACTTGTTTACTTTGACAACTAAAGCTGACAGAGTTTTGTGTCAACTTGTGATGTTTTTAACTGTCTTTCTCCGCTGAATGTACAAAATGAAATTCTGCTGCTATCAAGAGTCTTCTGTTATTCATGGCTAGTTTGTTTATTGGGTTTTTGGCTGAGAAATACGTCGCTTGACAAAGCCGGAACCCGTTTCGGTTGGCATCGTTTTCGTTTTTCACCTTGCTTGATGCGTAAGAGGGTTGAAAAGTCTGAAGCGATTCTGCCCTTACTTGATAGTTTTCAGAGCATCTCGAATGGTAAGCCTGAGTATCTAATTTAATGAAGCCGGGCGTAGTTATGCGGCTATTTAGTTTATGCACGTTTGTAAGATTCAGTTGCTGTAAGATATGAGACAATGATCGATCTGACCGAGTATCAGGTTTGATTATAAGCTTATAGAACTTTAAAAAGCCTTTAGACATTTTCTCACTGCAAATAGAAAGAAAACGTTACAAAGAATATTTAGTTATAATTCTGGCTGTAAAAGAAAGCTTTGAGCGATTTTCTTGCCTCGAGTTCATCTTTGAAAAAGCAAACGCCGGGAAGCCGGCTTAAAACATAAACAAGGATTTTCAGAGACACTTTTTACTTGTCTTCGTGAATGAAAATTGTTGTCTATGTATATGTTTCACCGAATTATTATCCTTTTATTGATTGCTAGTAGTCTCTTTTGCAATTTTAATCGCTGTGCCGTTTGTTTTCAGTCGCTCATGAACATCGCTTGCAGGAGTAGTCAAAATGCCGCGTGTATCAAACGCTTTTGAAGATTACACATAGTTATAAAACTGTTAAATAAAGAAATAAACATAATAAATGTTTTATCATGTTAAAGCGTATAACTCTATTAATCTTGATTTAAACAGTCGACTTTGGCGCTTGTCAAAAGTGAGAACCGGCAAGCCGTATAGGTGATTTTAGAAATTTTTTTAACGGTTTCGGTAAAAGCCCACGCGTGCTTCGATCGACCTGAGTGTTGAATGAGAACAATTTGTATTGCAAAATTGTGATCTGTCCGAGGTCTGTATTATAAGAACAGTGCCTCATAGTACTGTTTCACCCCAGATGATGTATAAAAAGTATAAAAGGTTGGTTTACACGTCCCCAGACTTGTTAGCAAGATTTTGTAAAATAAATTGTAAACTTGTCGAACGCAAAAAATTGGGCCTGATTTGTTTTCCGAGAATTTGTTTTCCAGGCCTAATCTACTGTGATCAAGAGCCATTTTTATGGCTCTTGAATGTGATTGAAGATGATTGCTATTTTTTGGGTGTACATATAAGGCTATCAACTTGATGTAAGATTAAGTTCACTCTTAGCTTGGACTGTTTGCAAATTATTTTTCTCTAAAATCACTTAGCCTTTCCCTCAAAAGTCACATGAATGTGCTCTAAAGTTAACTGATTTGTAAAATACGATTGCAAGTTTATTGTTTGATTTAAATTATAAATTCGAGTTAATAGGAGCTTCGCTTTTAGCTCTGGTTAAATCTATATATTAGATATTTAAAAACGAAGGCGTCAAGACGAGATAAAATTGCCTTGGGGACTGGGTCTAGTTGAAAAAACCGTTTATTTTCTATAACAGTAAAAAATTCATAAAAGGCCAAGCACAGTTTTTCAGATACTTTAGGTGGGGAAAAGGTGAATATGTCCACGGCCCCTCACCCATTACCCATTGCCTGAATTACTACCATCCTTAGAAGAGGGAATAACTACCTTAAGCAACATGGTATCCTTGGTTACTAATCATTTTTATTTATGCATAGGCCTCCTCACTGGGGAAACAGATCAGGCCTGAAACTGAAAAAAAAAAAAAACAAAAACAAAAAAAACAACAACAACAAAAAATGATCTTGAGAAGGGACTGTAGAATTAAAAGATTGCCTACTAGTTTTTCACAGGCATCCGAAAGAGCCCTCTAAGTTCTCTTGTACTGGTTAATTGCAAAGAAAACGAGGAAAGTAAGTACCCTAGGAAAAACTGAGCCGCTTAATTGACACTGTTCCATTTCATGGCCGTTTCAAGCCACTTTCTCCACCCTTGTCACAAGCACAGTACTCTCGTAGTTGATGAGATCATCCTCTTTTACATTTTGATAATGTTCATTCTCCAATTCGGTTATTCCTTCTTCAATTTGATCGTCGCTTAAATGCTGAAAGAAACTGAAAAAGCGGCATCGATAACATTCGTACAACTTGGATTTTGTCACCCCCCATGAAAAGAAGACCTCTTGCTGTGATACGTTTGCATTTAAACCGACTTCCCGTAGCAACAGAGATGAGATTTCCCTCTCTCGCTCATAAAATTGGCTCATTAATTTGTTTGCACTTTTGAATAACGGAGGACTGTGCTTAAGGACGTTTACCTGCACAAAAATACCACCAGGTCGAAGACTTCGAAGAATTCCCTTATAAACAGCACCGGGAGCATCGGGGTTTACAAAATGATGTGCACTTACATTAGTTAGCACTCTGTCAAATCTATCGCTAATTTGCGGGTTCGAAAAAAATTCTTCGGCAGTTTTCACAACCGGGTAAACCCCTTTCTTTTGTCGAGCAACTTCTTGCATTTCCACACTGGGGTCAACACACCAAATAGGATTGTGAAGACCTGACAATTCAAAGAGATCTTTGGCAATGGCACCCGTTCCACTGCCAATGTCAGCGACCACGTGCTCTGGCTTTACGTCCAAACATTTCATTAGGATGGGAATGTAACCTTGGTGAGCTTCTTTGTAGAAGTAGTCATACTTGTCTGCAATATTGCGATAATGATCTGCAAAGAAGAGCGAGAGCCTTAATTTTTTTTCCTGGCCATCTTTCCATGATACCATGCATTTAAAAAAAAATAAACTTAATAAATAACAGTCCAGTGTCTGTGTACATGCCTGTCTATGCATCTCTATTCAAATAACACCTCCATTCAGGAGACACAAAACTTGGTCCGGAAAAATGTTCACATAATCTCTGTATTTGTTACCTGTATTCTGGGTCACGAAAACTGGGTTTACCTCCATTCAGGGGACACCTTGGCAATCAAAAAGTGACTGACCACAAAAACCGTGGATAAGTCTAAGTGTTCACTAGTCACAATGGCGACAGCTTCAAACATGAATTAACTCACTTAAATCGATGTCCTGCACTTGCGCGAATCAAAACACAACATCGCAGATATAAGTTGATCATAGGTTTTTATATATATCTAGCTGCTTGAAGTAATGACGCCTTTTTCGGCTCTAATCATAACTATAACAAAATTGTCAAATCTGATTGGCTATCAACAGCCCTGATTTCAGCCTTAATTGGCAGTTTAATAGGACAGTACGCGTCATGCCTAAGTAATTGCACAGTACGTGCCACCACGCGCGCGCTTAAATGGCTTTTTTTTTACTGCTAGTAAAACAAAATTTCGAATTTCTTGTGTTTTGATTTAAAAAATAGCCTCTTATGTCACAAATTTGGTTAAAGTTATGATTAATTGGTAACAGAACTTCATGTCGTCCAATTCAGTCTATAATCATACTCGTGATTAAACAAATCGGACTCCCGCTACGCGGTCGTCAGATTTTGTTAATCACTCGTATGATTACAGACCGAATTGGACTCCACTCAGTCCTGTTACCATTACTAATAAAAATATTTTATTTTTTTGGTTAAATAGTAACAAAGCCCAGCCCAACCTTCATTCAGGAGACACCTCTATTCAGAAGACACTTGTCATGGTCCCGTGGGTGTCCCCTGAATAGAGGTTCCACTGTAGTACACTTTTCGTATACCTTCTATTGACAAAAAATACCCCTTTCACAACCTTTGCATCCCTTTTAATTACTGTAAATGCACTGTCGTTAAAATATGAATATATCACAAAACCAGAACGTTTTCTTGACTTTTTTACAGCCATAAAATGCATCTGTTGGCCCTTTTAAGCCCTTTTATGACGAAAATGGCAGATTTCCCTACCCTTTCATGTATTTTAACAAGTTAAATCCCTACCATTCAGATATATTTGAAGCTTGAAATAGATAATAATAATAATAATGGAAACTTTATTTGTGTTTTTCAATGTACAATTTACAAATGCTGCTTGAGTTGGATTATTTATAAAAAGGAAAAAATAAAACAAAAACAGAAAACAAAAAAACAAAAACAAAAAAACAAAACAAAACAAAAGCCAGAAAAAAATATCAAAATTGCATTAAGTCTGGGCTATCCCAGTTCCTCTTTCTACGACAAAAGATATAATATGTTGCTCTAATGGCTATATTTATCATTTTCTTGATTATATAACGTTGCTGCTTTCTGTCAATGCCAATGTCATTCATCATGTCGAAGAACGTGGAGCATTCATCGGAGAAAACGCCAAGGGAACTCATGGAGAGATTTACAAAACTCACACATCTGTAATTTCTGCTCATTTCGTTGATCAAGTTCAGATATTTTTATTTCTTACGCACTGCATTGTTGTTAAGGTTAGACTCGAAACCAACTGTTAATTTTAGAACATATAGGCACTTGGACTGGATTAGGAAAAGAAGATGTGGACGATAATTATCACCAGTTATTATTGAGGGATTCAGAAAATCATTAACATCTGCATAGAGTGAAGAGTGAACAGTAATTACAGGTTGAAGTGACTTGGCAATGAAGTTAAGGATTGAGTTGTTTCTGCAGGTAAAGCGATCAAGGTACTGTTGGCAACCAGCGACAACATGAAGGAGTGATTCTGGATTAAGGCAAAAGGAGCAATCAGGACTTTGTGATAATCCCCATCTTGCCATATTCTTGCGTGTAGGGAGGGAGTTGTTGATGTAGCGGATGGTAAAATTGTAAATGTTCTTGGGTAGATGAGAATGGGCCTCTGACAAAATAGAATTTACAAGTGAGTACTTGATAATATTTGAGAAGAAGAAACCTTGAGATGTTAGGTGGTGTTGCAGTTTATCCTCTTGATTAGAACGGAAATCTTTAAGAACTTCCTTAGTGGATTTGTACACATCATATTGAATATTGGTGTGACAGCTTGACGATTTCCAGAGATCTTTTAAGGAATCATTTGGTGACTTTTAATGAATTTCGGAGAACTGTTTGGCACTGAGTAAATTTAATAGAGGAAGGACAAATATTAAGACCAAATTTATTGCGTTCTAGGAAAACATTGCTCAGTGTTCCAGATATCGGAATATCAAGCCATTTTCGAATATAGCCATTCACTACAGAGTCGAGATGTTCCGTTATCGAGGTCTTGGATATATTAGCTATAGTGAAATGCCAGGACAATTTAGATAGGACATAGCGGCTGTACAGAAGAAGTTTGTGTTTAGGATGTAGTGGCTTTATATCAATGTCATTCATCAAGTCTTGTACAAGAGAGGACAATTCAGACATGTGTTGGTTGTTAGACATGTTGAAGTCAAAGAGGCGACCTAAGTAACGAAATGATTCACCCATTTCCACATAGGGAATTAGAACTCGATTGATCAACAGTTTGGGTAAATATTGGACAGATTTAGTGCACAGTTTCCGTATTCCAAAAGTAGAACATTTATCAACTATTATTATCATGTTCGACCAATTACACCAGATTATAAAGCGGTTGATTAGATGTTGATTTTCTGATTCCTGACCGCTTATGACAGCGGCATCGTCAGCGAACTGGAACCAGTGGATGGGATTTAAGAACTTGAGGGAAAAGCCAAATTGACGGTATTTTTCAGATTTAATATGCTGTAGAAACGTGTTAAAACACAAGTTGAAGAGAAGTGGGCTTAGGCAATCACCTTGGAGTACACCACGACCAACAGATATAAACGGAGTGCGAAATTCATATGTAAGAATGGAGGTTTTGAAGTCAGTGTAAAGACTTTTCACCAGTGATTTGATATGATCGGGAATGTGGTGGTAATCAAGAGCGGTTTGAATCAAGTTGTGATGAACTTCACCAAAGGCGTTTTTAAGGTCCAAAAGAGTAATGACGAGTGAACACTGTTTGGTACGAGCTTTGTTAATGATATCAGCCATTTGAGCAGTGTTCTCAAAAGTTCCAGAAAGACCTGGTGTAAAGCCTTTTTGAATTTCCTGTTCAATGTAGTTGTTAGCGGAGAGGAAGTTGAAAATGGCATTACGAAGACACGCGGTAAAAACCTTTAAAGGCACAGATTGTAAAGCAATAGGACGGAAGTTAGCAGGGTCATTAGCGTTTTCCTTTTTATGGATGAGGATTGTGCAGACTCGCTTCCATTCGTTTGGGACGGATCCAGCTGACCAAGCTGTGCGTATAATTTCAGATAAATAGGCGCGAAGAAAAGGACATCGTTTGAAACAAATTATTGACAGTTGATCTAGGGGACAAGGAGAACCAGACGCCTTCATTTTTCTAATCACACTTGAGATCTGTTCGTACGTTGGAGGTTCAAGGTTAAACGGAATTACAGGATCTGATAAAGTTGGTATCCAGCTTGGAAGGTTGAAAACTTTAGTCGGATTTACTGACGAAAGAGTTCTTGCAAAGTAATCAAAACACTCATTCATGGAAAACGAAGGGAGGATTTCATCTTTTTTGTTGAAGATCTTTTTGACATATCCCCAGAAATTTTTAGAGATGGAATAATCATGATTCATCAGGTCAGCGTTGACTTGACACGACGTGTTGTCTCGTAGTATGTCACGCAATAAGCGAGATACGTATTTGATTTCTGTGATGTCGGCGTTAGCGGACTGCTTCAAGACTTTAAGAGATTTCTTCAGATCATTTTTAGATTTGCCTTCGTATTTCCTTATCAGGCTTTCATCAGGAGCTTGTGCAACTTGACCAAAATTAGCAGAGAAATAGTCATAAACAGTGTCGTTTAGAAGTTTAACACATGAGCTGAGATTCTGAACAGTGATTGGAGGATTCAGAGATAATACGGATTTAAAATATTCGCTGGCCGTTAACCATTGTTCTTCACATTTAGGTAGATTTATTCCCTTTTTAATCTCGGGAAAGCAATGGTCTTCAGGTTGAGGGGAAGGGACACCGGAGGCCATCAAAGGATCACCTACATCGCCAGATTCTTGGTCGATGAGTACGGCATCATTGAGGTCAGCACGAAGTTGATCATTCAAACCCAAAATAACTCCACAACTCCTTTGATGCATCTTCAATCCTCTGTTACCCTTGCAAAGTCTACCACAGCAGCACTTCACGAGACAAACACGAGAAGAAGCATCTGCAGCGACTGACTCATTCGCATCCTCATCCACTCCAGCAGAAGGACGCTCCGCTCGAGTGATTCTATGTTTACAGCGCCACGCATGGCGGCTCAGCGAGACAAAATCCTTATCGGAGAGCGAACAGACCACACCAGCGAGCAAAACGAATAAAAACCGCGAACTAACCATGCCCTCCGACAACCAAAAGCAGCTCCCCACTGATTAATCCAAAGAAGATGTCAATCCAAGCACAAAAGGACGTTTAAACCGAGGACATGCACAAAACGTGTCCGTTCTGCTCAATGTCCCAATAATAATAATAATAATAATAATAATAATAATAATAATAATAATAACAATAATAATAATAACGATGATGATAATGCTAATGACAATGACAATGACAATGACAATGACAATGACAATGACAATGATAATGATAATGATAATGATAATGATAATGATAATGATAATGATGATGATGATGATAATGATAATGATAATGATAATAATTGGTGCAAGTCTTCCATGACAGGAGTTATATGGCCGGATCTTCTTACTCTTCTTACTCTGAACACGTTGCAGCTAAAATCCCTTTTAATTACTGTAAATGCACTGTCGTTAAAATATGAATATATCACAA